AAGCAAATTAGGAAAAGACGATGGGAATGGATAGGATATATATTACGGAAATTATTAAACTGTATCACAAGGCAAGCCCTAACGTGGAATCCTGAAGGCAAGTGGAAAAGAGGAAGGTTAAAGAACACATTACGTCGGGAAACAGAAGCGGATATGAAAAGGATAAATAAAAGCTGGAAAGAGGTGGAAAGGATTTCTTGGGACAAGGTTGGATGGAGTATGCTGGTGAGAGGCCTATGCTCCTTCACGAGGAGTAACAGGCGTAAGTAAGTAAGTAAATTAACATCATACAAAAACACATACGTAATTCTCATGAAGTTTTACACTTAACGTGTAAGACAGCCTGGGCTACTTATTCCTACCATCTAGATATTACGACAAGTTATTTGTCTTTTGTTTGTTTTAACACATCAATATGTCTATCAATTGCATAACCTATTCAGATGAGTTTACGAAGAGTTCATGACCTTCTGCTGTACAAGTTACAAAAAAGTACAATCAGAGACATCATCGTGGCTGACAGTATGCATTGAAATGAATGAGCATTATTCAGATGTAGATTCCTGAAACTACTTACATCTAGCCAGGGATCACTCAATATTTATCGTCAATATTGATCAATGAATAAGAAAAGGAAGCTTGTTTAAATACTTTGTTCTGAGAATTCTAGATTGAACCAAAAGAAATAATAAAGCCACTAATACTACAACAACAACTACTACTGTGGTGTGTGCTACTTATGTAAACATAAGTAGTATAAGATGTTAGTCGTGAACAGAATGTTTGGCAGTAGACAGACAAGAAGATCGAACGGTAAAGAATGAAAACAGAATGCAATCTGTATGAAATTGCAAGAACAATGAAGTCTGAGCCATTTTGAAACAATTGATGGACATTTTCCAAATTGAGCATTTACTATATGGATGTTAGATTTTAATAACATGTTCTGTAATTTGTTGCCAAATACATTTGACTGTCCCCCACTCGTTTTCTGTTCACTATTACTACTACTACTACTACTACTACTACTACTACTAACAATAATAATAATAATAATAATGATAATAATAATAATAATAATAATAATTCACTATCCGAATAGATTAGCCAAGATTGAAATAACTGAATCTTTGAAAATAGTAACATATGAATAATAAAAATAATATTTAAAATAAGACGAATTCAAGTTATAAAAACACAAAAAAGGAAAGATTGTATGTCGACTTATCAATGTTATATTATAACTGAAATGAATATAGACTTACTATCACTGAGGATTTCAAAGAGAAAAAAGAGTGTTGGTGCACTTTTCCTGTGCACAAAGAACTGATATTTTTATGTTTAATTTGTTATTCTGAGTTTGGAAGGACTTTGAGTTTGACAAACTTTTATAGTTAATTACTTACACGATAATCTATTGAAAAATGTTGATTTACGTTGATAATCGAAGAACATATGGATTCAAAAACAAATGTCAACTAATATCAAAATTGAAATCTTCAATACAAATGTCAAGACAGTTTTACTGTATGGGGTGGAAACTTGGAGAAATACGAAAACTATCATCCAGAATATACAAGTGTTTATTAACAACTGTCTACACAGAATACTTCAGATCCATTGGGCAAACATAATGAACAACAACCTACTATGGGAGAGAACAAACCAGATCCCAGAAGAAGAAGAATAGCTGGAAGTGGTTAGGACTCATATTGAGGAAAGCACCCAACTACGTTACAAGGCAAACCTTCACATGGAATCCTCAAGACCAAGGGAAAACAGAAAGGTCAAAGAACACATTAAGGCGAGAAATGGAGACAGACATGAGAAAAATTAACAAGGAAATGTAGGCCCATGACAGAGTGTGTTGGAGAATGCTGGTCGTCGGCCTATGCTCCATTGAGAGTAACAAGAGTAAGTAAGTAAGTAATTAACACACATCCTCATTATTCTGAACGATGCATTTTGAATATGTGGTTACTTTTCTTATCTTTGCTAATGTATTTCAAATAAAATATCATTTGAACCTTCATATATGTTTTTTTTGAAATTTTGCGCCCCCTGTTTCAAGGTGGCACATCAACTTTTATGAAGTAGTTACATCAGATAATAAATTGAACTCAGTTCAATTATAAGTGATACTGATGAACGCAAACTATCATGGAAATTAATAATAAACTAAAGATTGCTTTTAAATTATTACTGTTATGTTTGAATAAAGTAAACAAATGCTTGCTGGATATCAAGTTTTAAAACATAGTATTGTTTGTTTGAATCTTTCAAATGATATTTAGGACTTCAATTAATGAGTCTCTTATTAGCATATATGCATCCTGTGCAGATTATATCCATATTGCTTTTAGTCAAAAGAATTATAAGCAAAGATGAATGATGGTTAGCAGTAGAATCCAGGACGCGCGTTTTATTCTATTCGGAACTCGTCATATCATCAATGGGAAGATTCAAACAACCAATACAAAAATGATTTAAATCTTCCCATTGTATAGGCTATTGACTTTCAGGACGTGGTAGGTAAGTGGATAAGTCGATGGCGTTTGAAGTGAATAGTACTGGGTCTCAGAGTGAACATCACCTTTGGGATGCAAGTACATCTCAAACAGGGCAAAACGCGCGTCCTGGATCGCACTGTTTGCCATCATTCATCTTTGCTTATAATGCTTGTCTTACATTTAAATGAAAACCTTGTTAGATAATCATTAGAATAGCTAATGTAAGAAAATATATGAATAGGTCTTCGTAAACATTCTGAAAGCTCAAATACTAGTATATTCAGCCAAGCATCAACTCGATTTTGATACTTATACGTATGCTACCCATAAGTAATCCTAACCCGTTAGTTGGGTGAGAAGATAAGGACAGAATAAGAAGCTGTATAGGTAACCGACGCAAAGGTACATACTAACTCATTAATATATTTGTTTGCCCAGTGGATAATTGAGCCAAATCTCAGACAGGAGTGTTCATTCATAGACCACACTCATCTACCATTTGACTCTTCCCTAGCTTGTGAGCACAGTGATGTGATTTGACGGTATCGACCCAGATGATTACCTCTTTAACCCGATAATTTGGTTTTCACAACTTGTTGAATAATAAGCAGTGGCAAATATCATCTATTCAAAGTCGTTTTTATTGCTATAAACTACATCCAACTACCTCATAAATCAGTATTCCTTCTGGAGTCTATATGCAAAGATTCAGGTAAGAGATATGTTAAGTTTTAATAAACCACATTTATAATAATGTAACTAGCAAAGAATATTTCAGTTCAGAAGTTGATGAACAATTTTTCAAGAGAAAACAATCAAGTCGTGTGTATTTTAAACTCGTAAAATAAATGGATATTAAGAGGATTTCATTAGTAAAATCTAAAACAGTGCTAACTTGTTGAACAACAAAATGATCTTTAAGTCACTAATCTTCAGTTTAAAACCATCTAGAAAGACAACATATTGAAGATAAGTGTTATATCAATTAAATATTCAATATCAGTTAGATTGTAGTGTCGGTTGACATGTTAAGCTCATGTATCTTATTCTGGCTTTCGGATAGCCCAATCTATTCATTCTACTTCTTGAGTCATTTTTTCACGTTGTTAATAATTCGCTTATTAATCTTCACTTTTTATATGAGCGCATTTGTGTGTGTACATTTCTTATCCCTTTGATCACATATCTGTAAATTAGTTTTGTGTAACTATAAATATTGATTAACGCTTGACTAAACGGAGTTGGCCTACCCGCCATCTCCACTATGCGTCGGTTCGATTCTCTCTATTCCATTCGCTTTATATACAAAATACATGTATTCCAAAGTCCATTCTCGTTATTTGACTTATTTAATTCCGTTATTGACTAACGCGATTTAAGTCGATGATTATATACGAGGATAGGCGATAACAAACATTCATATAATCTACTTGGAGTCAGATCTCGGGTCACTAAAGTGGAGAGCTCTTCGACAAACATCGTCCGATCTAAATGACGACAAAACAAAAGACCCCACAAGATATTCACTTGTAGTTTAATTTAGATTATATGGAACTTCATTTTGGTAAAATCATTCAATGAATTGTTCACTTTCAATGTACATGTTGATGAAGATATTTGCAAGAGATCACACCTTTGTAACAAGCTTCTAGTAACAACTATTACTGTTGATATCCATGGTAATATCTAATATATTTTTTTAGTAGATTATCCACTTGCTAATTCATACTCAACATTATTGTTTGACCTAATTTAGTTGTATAGAATTCAATACCTGAGATTGTTATCATTAACTTGGAAGTCAAATAATTAATGAATAATAATTAGGATAAAATTATACATGGTATAGCTACTCTTCTGAATAGTTATTTGACATAAATGTTGATTTATTTTGAGTATAGAATTCAGTAGTATATGATGAGGGAATTACATGTTATGTTGAACTTGTGTCTAAATAAATTGACAACTTTTTGGTTGAGATCATGAACTGATTGATGTTAGACTACCGTTGGAAACCTGGAAGCACTGGACAGCTGTTTCGTCCTATTGTGGGACTTCTCAGCAGTGCGCATCCACGATCCCGCTCACGGGATTCGAACCCATAGCCTTCAGTCTCGCACGCGAACGCTTAACCTACTGGACCACTGATGGAAGTATTTTTTGAATAGGTAGAATAGCAGATACGTTTGAACTACTCCATTGCTTAATCATAGATGATTTCATTCAAATATTGAGATGTCTTTATACAAGCATCTACGCTATTAAAGACAATCTGAAGTTAGTCACATTCACTAGGTCTATATTCTGTAGTTCACCGCAGATTTTATAATCAATGTAATATCGTTACTTTTTTTAAAATACTTTGTCACCTATGCTTAGCTATAGTCGAATACATCTAAGTTACTGAGGTTTCAAGTCATTTATACTAAAGACTTACACTCATAATCAATTACTGGAACTCAGTTATTGTTTTAGAAAAAAAAAGTTGTCTCCATTTAAATAATGTTTATATTTTCATTGAAAACATACAACATGGTTAACACATAGAACAGCAACATATTAAATGTTTTGGGTAATTTTTTTAATTTTCACTTAATACAAACACATGTTTTTGTTACTAATCCATGTAGCATATTTGAAGTAGCAAATCCACTCCATGAACCGATAAGTGTAGGCCAGTCTGGTTTTGGTATTTGTTTTGATATGTCTGGTTTACGAGTTGGTGTGGTTCTAGGACGTTTAGTAGTAACTGGACGTCTAGTAGTGACTGGACGTCTAGTAGTTTTAGGACGTTTAGTAGTAATTGGCCGTCTGGTAGTGACTGGACGTCTAGTAGTTTTAGGACGTTTAGTAGTAATTGGCCGTCTGGTAGTGACTGGACGTCTAGTAGTTTTAGGACGTTTAGTTGTTTTAGGACGTTTTGTAGTTACAGCATAACATTCATCTTGTGATTTTGCTTCGTAAGGATAACGACCTTCATAGTTTCCTCTAAAATACAAAACAATATAAAATGGAATGTATTTATTGAATTTTGTTTTGCAATTCAATGAATAATAACATCTTCATATTACTATTACTATACTGATTAGAATAAAATTATAGTACAATAATAATGAGTATTAATTATTAATATTTATTTACCCTGGGCCATAATTACAAACAACTGATAATCCATATGGAAATCCATAATTTCCAGTACAATTTGTAATACCACAACCAACATGAGTAGTATTTTGCCATACTAACTAAAATAAATGAATAAGTTTTGAATTGATAATTTAAAGATAATTTGTTTAAATAGACAATTACATATAAGTATCAGAAGAGTTTTTGTAGAGATTGTAGTAATTTCATAAGTCAATTGAAGTTAGACCAACATAGAAAGCCTAAAAGCCCTGGAAGATCGTTTCGTCCTATTGTAGGACTCCTCAGCAGTGAGCATCCACTACCCCACCTCGCGGGATGAAGTTCAACCGGGTCAGTTGTGAGATAGTAGCTCAGTGATAACTATGGTGGATGTGTCGTTGAATTTCGTGGATTAGTTGAATTTAGACATTAATACCGTTGGATGCCGGCCTGCTCAGTGGTTTAAATGTAGAGCCTGATAGGTTCTGGGTTCCAATCCCGTGAGGCAGAATCGTGGATGCGCACTGTTGAGAAGTCCTACGATAGGATGAAACCACAATCCAGTGCTTTCAGGTTTTCCGTGTTGGTCTAGCTTCAATTGACTTATGATCTCAACTATTGAAATTACATATAACTTATTTCAAATGTTAAATAAAGAATAACCAGTGAGAAAACAAAATTTGATATTGACCACAAACATGTTTATCGTAGACGATATCCGGACTCGTTTCTAGGTAACTTTTTAAAATAAAAATATGGATAGACCTAACATTAAAAATCTCTTTAAATAATAATAATAATAATAAGTGAAACTTCAGCTGTATCTATTTGAGATCTAACTAGAAGTGAGACAATGTCATTATCATGACCATTATAACACTAATCATTTACTTCATATATTTCAATGAATAAGTGAATTAAACTTTAAGTGTAGTAAGACTCAAAGTGTTTTACAAGTAATAACTCTATATATCGTATGGTATAGCATAGTATAGTATAGTAGAGTGGTTAATTAGTATCATAACAATTTCATTAACACTTTATTGAAATAATTCTGGATTTTTTTTTTCATTGGTTGAAATTATGAGTCAATTAAAGCCAGCCCACCATGGAAAACGCGGCAGCACTAGAAGGCCGTTTCGTCATAGTATGGAACTCCTCAGCAGTGAGCATCCACGATCTTGCCACCTGCGAGATTCAAATCCATTAGATCACTGAGCTGGTCGGCATCCAACGATGTTAATGTCTATCTTTAACCAATCCACGAAGTTGCGCCACCGTATACCATTGTCTTCAGTGAGTGGATATCTCACAACAGACCTGGTTGAACTCCACTTGTCACTACTTCTCACTAGAACTCTAGAAGTATCTCTTGAAGTCAATCACTAGTGAGCATATGCTGAACAGAATGAGGTTTTGTGGATATTACAGTAATTTCATTAGTTCAGATCATGATTTAGTTGAAGCTAGACCACCATGGAAATCTTCATAAAACTTCTTCTGGTATTATTTTTTGTTTTTTTTCCTTTCTTTATTAAATATTAAATATTATTATTATTATTATTAAATATCAATAATTTTAGTTTATTTGTAATAATTTACTTGAGTATAATGTCCACAAACACCATAACAACTCATTGAATGATAATTATACTCTTTATATTCATCTTTCCATGCATTGAATGCTCTAAAATCAGATTAATAAAATTAACAAAGAAAATATTATATTATTTACTGTTCAATTGTTTGATATCCTGCAATATTTTGACCAATATATTCCCATTTATGAGGTAAATGAACATCATTATGATGAAAATAACATTCATTTGCTAAATCTTTAGCTTTTGAAGCTAGTTCATCATCCCATTTCTATTGTTTGTTTGTTTGTTTTTTTTTTAAAAAAAAGAAAAAAAAAGAAAAAAGAGAAAAAAAAGAAAAGAAATGAAAAGAAATTCAATATTATATATAACAATGAATACATAATATTTTATGTAAACTTACAAGAGGTTTTAAATTTTTCGCTGGAGGTTGTCCTTCAAATTGACATATTGTTAAATTACGTCTAAGATCATTATGATATTTTAAAAGTTTTCGAAGTTGTGGATCATTTGGTTGTGAGAAGACAATGTTTAATTTTGTATAAATTAATAATAATAAAATGCATAAAATTTGTTTAGTCTTCATTTTATCTCTGAAACGTTTGGATAACAGACAATTTATAGAATCTTTTAGAGATAAAAAAAAACAAAAAAACAAAACAAAACAAAACAAAAACGACAAAAACAAAACACAACAACTGTACTGTTATGATGTGATTTGGCACATTATGCATTACTTTTTTCAACAAAAAAAAAACAAGAAAAAAAAGTTTTTATTTTAGCCTATGTATATGTGAAATCATAGTTTACTTTCTATTAAAATGATTGTTTATTAATTATAAGTAGAATAATTTATGGAGGGTTTTAAGTTGTGTTTTCTTTTTTTTGTGCAATCCATGTTCTAATCAAACATGTGGTTCTTTTAATTTATAGTGATTAGTTTCAATTGAATTATTTTGTTGATTTATTTATTTACAACTGTTATTCGTCGTCAAGGAGCATAGGCTGTTAACCATTATTCTTCATCCAACATTATACTGGGAAATCTTTTCCAGTTGTTATTCATCTTTTTGATGTCTGATATGGTGGCCTAAAGAGAAAAGATGGTGGTGGGAGGTAGTCAACAGCAAACCTTGGATCCAGGTTTCGTGATACTTGGAACTCGTCAGTAAGGTGTACCTGTATTCTTGAGGGAACTGATGCGGCCTGACGGGTTCGATCCCATACACACAGCTTCACAGTCAGAGATGTTAACACTGAGCTATTCAAACCGTGACCAACCCTCTCTAGGACTGAGACGTAATCACAATTAATAGATCACTGGGTAGTGATCAATGTCATGTATGTCAAGTCTCAGGTCTAAGGTTTCCTGTTGACTACCTCAAATCACCATCTTATCTCAACATATTACATACAATTTCGAGTCATCTAGACTAGTGGCCACATCGCAACTTGGTCGATAGCATTCGATCTGCATGTTATCAAGTTATCGAAATATATATTACATCAATTCTTACAAATATTTATTGACTTAACTCGGAATAGTGTGTTATTTGATCTTCCTCTTATTTGTTTCCCTTCAAGATTCCAAGTTATCATTTGACTTTTGAACTAGTAAAAGGATTTCCCTAATTTTTTGACGTATGTTCTTAATTTCTTCTTCAGCTGCCACCTGATATTTTTACAAGTTCAGTTCTCATCTTTTGAAATAGTTTCCATCAACTGAATATTTATGTTTTTCTGTTTCTTTGACCATGTCAATAACATTATCCTAGCCTCTATAAATATTATCACTAAATGAAGATCAGACTAATTTTCAACTTCATATGAATGAAGACTTAAGGTAATGTAAAAATCAATCACACTCTATCTATATTTGTTATATTTGTTTAGTTTAACCTCATAGACTGATTTTATTTAGAAAAGCATTGGAACCCAACATGTACTGCTTATCTGTTTCGTTCCAATGCAGGTTCTTTCATAATCATAACTTCATTTCGAGTGGAATCTAGGACGTTGGGGTTGTGTACTGGGTACTTAATCTTTAGATATATGTACTGGGTACCAACAGTTCACGTATCCAACTTCAGTTAATTTGCGATATTGTATTCATCCAGTCCTAAATATATTTTGTCAGTAAATCTCTATGATAATTCGAAATTATTTCTACATAGGTAATTTCTTCAAAGAATCATTCATTTATTATAGTCATAGCATAGATAGATATCATATGTATCCACAGTTTCATTGCTTTTAACATAAATGACTTGGACAAGTGAATGACAAATTGGACTATAGTTTATAGCTAATGCAAGCATTCTCGAGTTCAAAGGACAAACGCTTTGTGGAAACAAGATATTGTAGTGAGAATACGACATATACACATATTATTTATGTGTCTCAAATGATGAGGCATTCATGTGTTCACTACACTAAAAAAATATCGTCAAAGGAAATCCATCTTTCAATTAATTACAATGATAGATTGCAATCAGAAAACCGTAGACAATTTCGGCAAGAACAGACATTACTGACTGATAGAAGTAGATTATTCACAACGTTCAACATTAAACAGTTTCCGAATTAAATAATGTTACTCATATTAGCCTACACAGATAAGATTGTATGATCAGAAGTGGATAAATTACTGTACTATGTAGAAATACCTATGAAGAAATAACACGAATTACACATGGATGATGACAATAAAACAAGTTGAACTAACTCAAACTATTGAATACAAATGAGTACTATAGGATAAACGCAACAAAATGTAGGCTTAGAACAAGTGTAATTGAATGTGAAAAATATTTTACTATGTAACATAGGGCTGCAATTAAACTCAAATCGATTTCTAAATCGTGTCACTCTGTTTTGTGACCAATCAGAATGACGCGGGAATTGTTATATCTACCATCTTTGTAAGCGATGGCGGTCAGTGTTCTTCGTTGTTTTTTTTCCTGCTGTTTCTTTTATGTAACTGCATGATTTAATGTTTCAGTGTGCTGAAATTCCGCGGTTAATGTAATACATTATGTGTTAAGGTAAATTGTCATTGAGTCAGATTTGTTTTCTCGGTTTTTGCTCCGGCTATTCAAGTCAATGTATTTCTTCAGGCAATCTCGTTTGTTTTATGGTATAGAATGTTAGTACGTTTTGCTTTGAGTATTATATTGTAGATGTTGGAAATCTAAGTTATATTTTTAGCTAGAATAAGTGATGCTGCGGCCTGGAACTGTGGTTGCCCATATGTTCGTTCTTGTCATTTATGATGTTATGGGAAGATATGAAAGAAAACCATTACCGGTTTGTTATTTTCTTCAGCATTATGGACAACCCTATCTCATCAACGAGTCAAACTCATACTGAGTACCTAGCAGTAGCGGATATCAATAATGATTTCCGAAAGACTTAGACACGTGAGAACCACAGGCGAAGTCAAAGATACCACCAATCTACTGTAGATGGTTTGTTATTGAAAATAAAGCATACAGAAGTAATTGATGGGTTGTACTCATTATGTCGTGCGTGAAAGCAAGCTTAACGGTGAAAAGCTGGAAATCCACTACCAGGGTGTAGTATGTTTGCTGTTTTAGACATTAAAAGAAACCAGAGGTCCATGATCAGAGAGTAAATATGTAATTAAGTGTTATTATGCTCACTGTTTTATAGATCAAAGTTTACCGGTTGCAAAGTTATGTTTCTTTAACGATATGATATCAACGGGGACCTAATATCTTCACCCTTGGGATGAAAAGTACCTGCTAATTTTCGTCTCCTTATTTGAATTATTTTTTGCAAACTGTCTTCCAATATGAGTGCTTCGTACGCCCTGGAGAACTCGATTTTTATAACATTCATAGTACCGGCATAAATTTCTTGCGCACCAAGTCCACATGATCTTTTAGAATAGACATTAGTCTTTCTAAATGTGTCTGTTAAGCTATTATTCGTATTCTCTATTTCAAGTAATCGATGAAAACAAGTCGCGCCATGTACATCTGCTTAACAAAGAGCAAGCATAGAACAATCGTAATTGAGAATAAAAAAATATTTGAAATTTTACTATGTAAATTAGTTTCCAAAAAATTTACAGATATATAAACACGTATGCTTGTGAACTGGATCTGTACGACTTACATCGATCACAAGTCATTTCCAGGTCTATCTCAGGATTTGCCATTCACAAATTTAATTTCATTTTTTGTGATAATCAACAATCATCTTTTATAACTATTCTCAATCTAAAATCACTAATCGATCACATACACCTTTTGTAAACGATTTCTTTCAACCTAACTGATCAAACATCATTTTAACATGCAAAATGTTTGTGATAAAATTCAATTCATATCTGAATTAATCACTCTACACCTTGTAAGAACTAAGTTATTAACTGAAAACAATCTTTATTCTGAAATGCTATGTCTTTTGAACTCTCTCTCTCCAGATCATAATAATATTATTCTAGAAGTGAGAGGCCGTAACCTGTGGATTTCAGTCTGTGTCGAGTGTGAAATCGGTATACCACTGATGGAATGGATGATGGGTCTCTCTAGAGCATGGATTGGTTGAAGCTAGACATTAACATTGTTGGATAGCAGTTTAGTGGTCTGAACGTTATTTATCCGCTCGTGAGACTGAACGTCTTGGGTTTGAGTCTCGTAGCAACGTAGATAAGCACGTGTTAGGAGTTCCACACCTGGACGAAACGACTGTCCAGTGCTTCCAGGTTTTGAACGATGGTCAATTGCGAAAATAATCCGATCTCCATAGATTTCCATATTGATATTTCAAGGTGTTTTATTGTTGTATATTTAATCAACTTCCGATTAGTTATGTTTAAGTATTATTTAAAGATTTTGTTAAGACTAGTCTAATGAGAACTGTGCAAAAAACGATAGAACCCGCCCATCTGTTCCTTGTTGTAATCTCTACCCCAATGTCTATCTGTGATATAACTCTATTACAATTGATTCTTCATTTCCGTTTACCCATGTCATCTCACTAAACGGTGTTGCTTTTATCAACTGGCATTTCTTAATCTTTAGAATGTTAGAACAGTCTGTTTGTGGTAGATGTAACTACAGTTGCACATTTAATCTGCTACTGATTTAATTTAATCTGTAAATCTTGTTGGTTGTGTCATTAGTAATCTGATGTTTTATAGAAAATGACTGATTGATTTGCTAGACCATTCTGTAAGATTCAATGATGCATGACATTGAAAGCATCGTGAACCTTTTTGATGGTATCCCTGTAAAATTTGGATAGACAATCAAGCTACGGGCAATGATAAACTATGCAAATAACTAACAACTATATCCAATTTGTTTCTTTCACTTATTTTCCGATTCCAGAAGCTATAAACTCTGTTCAGGTTTCAAGGAATTATGGAGAGATCGGATCCCGTTAATTGAATTTTAATATGGTGAATATGCTACGTATGTCTGTCGACATAAGTAGTATGCAACACCAATCAGAAATAGAATGCATCGCAGCAAATGGATGAGAAAACCGAATTGAAGAGACAGCAAATGTTAACAGAGAGTAATTGTATTAACAACAGGAATCAGTGAATGACGAATTATGTAGGAGACAATTGATGGAGGATGTGGAAATGAAGTATTTAATGTATGGTTTCTGTATTTTACGAGAACATTCTGTGATTTGCATTAACTGATGAAATTGGTTTTTCACAAGTCTCCGTTCACTCCCACTAAAGATGTTCACACTTTCTTTAAAATTAGACATTTATCATAATAATTGGAAAACAAGTCATACAGTACTACATTTTCAATCTGGAGATATGACCAACAATCACAAATATACGTTTATTATGAATATAAATGACAAGATTATAACAGTACTCCATCGGAAAATTTCGATTATAGTTAATTTCTGTCAAGCCCTTTTATCAACTTATTTAACAGACAATGTTATTCGTACGATGAAAATTCGTGTATTGCTTTGTATTATTCTGATCAACATGATGTCTGTATAAACGTGTGCGATTGACCACATGTGACAGCGTACTCACATATCTCTCTCTAGCTTAAATGCTGATGGTTTAGATATCGCTCGATGAATCATTCTGTTTTCCATGTATATATGCGATAGAATCCTGTTATTGGACTTTTCTTTGACTTGCCTTGCTGTTCCTTAATTCGATTTGACTAAGAATTCGTCCTTGTATTCGCTCGCTCACACAGATTAGCCACAATCAGTCTCCACGTTAAACTTTGAATACTTTACACAGTCAGTGACAACAAATAAATAGAAAAAATTACTGTTTGATGTCAGTTACAAGACATGTAACAGTAGATGAAACATGAGACCATTCATTTTATATACATGGATTATTCATAAGCAAAAGACATCGTATTCAAAAATTAATTCAACAGACTCAAGAATAAACTACAAATCTTATTCTCAAAACTCATTTCTCACCAAAAAATTATTCAAAACTGAATACGTCCGAGAATACATTTTCTTCTCGTTTTAAGACATTCGAGAATTGTGCAAAATAATTATCGAAAATTAAAACAATTTCTTAATGTTTCATTAATTATTAATAATTAATAACATTTTGAAAAGTCAATTACACGTTGCACACAATCATGGATCTATTGAAGTTAAACATTAACACCATTGGATGCTAGCTCAGTGGTCTGGAGAATAAACATTCGCGTGCGATACCGAAAGTTCTGAGTTCGAGTCCCTCGTGAGGAATTGTGGATGTACACTGTTGAGGAGTCACATACTACAACGAAACGACCGTCAAACAGTGCTTCCAGGTTCTTAATGGTGTTCCAGCTTAGATCAACTCATGAATTTATCTATTACAGTACTGCAATCTTTACAAATTCCCATTCTGATAAATTTATTTCAATTGACATATTGCTTTGTGGTATAGAATATCATACATTACTAATTTCAATAAATAAACAAAATCCGTCAAATGAATTCGTTTGAACTAATATTGACGTAATGTACACAAATCTTCATTGAATTTAGAGAAATACAGACAAATAAACTATGAAAGCAAATTCTACATTCTTCCCGTTAATTAAAACTAATGATTCCTTTGTACGTGTTGAATGCTTGTTTTCGAATTCCAAATGCAGTACACTCGTTCGTGTTTATCTAGTACTTATTGATTCATATGAGTTATTTCTGGGATTCTCAGTTAGTACTATAATTCAAATACTTTTACTTACTATATTGGCGTCGCGATGGAGCCTGTGATGGAACGGTTGGGCATACATTCAGATTTTGATGCTTCTGAGGATTACTTTGAAAGGTTTAAAATATGGGCTATGACCAATGAAGATGTTGAGGATGTTAATATTGTGGCACATTTCCTCACATTCATCGGAAAAGAAGCTTACAGCTTATTGAAAACTCTAGCCTTACCAGAAAAGTTTATTTCTCTTCCATATGTGACTTTCAAGGAACTACTAATAGACCATGTAAAGTGTAGAAATTTGGAATGCGGTAAAGGAGAAAGATTTTGTAAAATGATTCATCAGGACATCGAAAATTCCACTACATTACTAGGTCATCCCAATCCAGTTCATACTCAAGGTAATGCAGATAATTCATTGAGGAGTTGCGGTACAGTTCACGAAGATGGGCACAGGTTTGATCAATGTTTGTCCTGTGGCAGGTTTCACACATTTAATTCATGTGTATTTCGTAATTCTAAATGCTTTAAATGTGGTGAGATTGGACACATTCAATCAGTTTGTCATACTACGGTTCATCCCTCTGCAACGTATGCCAAAATTTGTAATTGTGATCCTATTAAGTTGGGTGTTTCTATCGATCATTTATCTTTATGAACTACTTCGAAATGCAGTATAGAGTCACATGGCAGACCAGAATTAAATGAAACTCAGAATCCTTGTGAGATAACAGTTTCTAATCAATCATCTTGTTAGATTTCTCATGTTATTGTACCAGATATGGTTTTTTCCTAATGTATTACATATTTCTAATGACATTTCTTACAAATCTGATGAAAATATGCTGAGTGAACTTAATCATGATCAAAAACCTGATGTAGTTTTGATAGATGCTGATTTTTCTATTGATCCATCACGCTGCAATGACATTCTCAATAAATTTGACGAAAGTATTTAGAGAATCAAATCTTGATATCATATCAAATATTATTTATCCTCATGATGCATTTGTTTCTTGTGAGAAACTTGTTCAATACGAAGCATGAGTACTAAATGAGCATAAGTTTGACTACAATTCGGATGATTTCATATCAACTGTTGTTTATCCTTATCATGAAGTCAGTTCTAATTTATACTCTAGTCAATGTGTGGAATATGTTTTCAATGAAGCCACGTTATTCATAACTCGGGGATATGAAGATCCAATATTATTTCGTGGGGGAGGATAATGTCGGAAAATCTATGATTCAAATTCTAGATATTTGTGGTTTCAGTACACAACCGATACGATGATTATATACAATCCCAGGAACCAAGTGAGTGTGTTTCTATTTCGGTCGTTAATTCTAATACTAATGAGTACATTCCAGATAATGCAGAGCCTTTATCCAGAACACTATCGGATAGACATAGGATGAACTTAAGAAGAAGACGTACAATCGATCACAGATACATAGACTCCAAATTAAACTGTGGCAGATGTGGTGTTTCAATGAACAAATGATTCCTTTGTACTTATTGAATGCTTGTTTTCGAATTCCAAATGCAGTACACTCGTTCGTGTTTATCTAGTACTTATTGATTCATATGAGTTATTTCTGGGATTCCCAGTTAGTACTATAATTCAAATACTCCAAATTATCACACGATCCATCCATTATCTTCTTCAATATATTGACTATTCAAAGTGAAACTCGTTTTTATTTTCCTGTGTTCATATTTTATTCGGTATAACATTAATTGATTTGAATGTGATGTTCTATTCAAGATACACCATTCTTGTATTCAATGAACGTGGACTATGCTCAGTATGATATGTAGTATGTGATTTTATTATATGTCTGAGTATTCTTCACTTATGTGATCTCATTCTAATCAATAATCAAAATGGGTGTACAAATCAATCGAATGAGTAGCACAAATCATGAAGCATTCTACATTACTTTTATTCATGTATAGTGTCATAATATGTGTCTACTCTACATAATGTTGACACTGTAATTCGTTTTGAATTCAGTTCCAGGGGAAACGATTCTCAATGAGATGTTCTTTACTTTTCTATTGACTGATTGCTTGTTCGATCTTCCATCTACAAATACAGTTTTGTTAAGTAAATGAAAGAAATAACTGGATTGGAACCTGTTTCTCCCTCTCCTGATTGATTTGAAATGAATCAATTCTTAATACACACATATTGATTGTCTCAGTTCATTAGTGTGATATTACATCATTCTAGATGTAAAGTTGTTCACTCTATCTGATTCTATGAAAATCACATCAGCACAGTATTGTAATGAAACGTCTTCTTAATTTCAGATATTCTGAATTGAAAACTTCACCAAATAAAATCCATCTTGGTGTAGTTCGTATTTGGTCTGTTTCATACCCCTTACCATTTATTCATACCTAAATTTTAGTCCAACTGTTTATGCAAAGAAGTCACGTGCTGTTGATATTACTACACACTCAGTTTTACAATCTGTAATGTCTTGTATGTTATCTAGCATCCTATTGTGCTGCTTAACTTTAGAGAAGCGATTTCACTGTGCTGAGAAGAGTAATCCACACACTTGTCACATTGTGATCAATCTTTCGACGATATAATAATCATGATTATGCATTAACATTTCATATCTTGTAAACAAGTGTTAAATTGTATATTATCGGATACAAATCATTCAGTGAACACACATATTTCCCACTCTATGTGGAATGTTCACTATCTGACGAATAGTTTATCAAAACTCACTTATCCGAAACACGATATTTATGGATGATCGGGTAGTTAGTCTTTGTGAAGATTCATAGTTTCTCAAACGAAAATATCACTAAACTGGACATAACGATGTTGTGTAAATTGAGTTGGGAGAATGTAGTTGAAATATTGTAAGCTAAGGATTTACTGTTGAATTACATGTTTAATATTGAATGAAGTTATTATTACTAGTCATATCGATGAGCTGAATAAACGTGAAATCCATTCAACACTGAATACACCTACACAGATGAAATAATGAACAGTTAAACGTATTCATTAAATGTATCATTCCAATGACACATTTGCAAACTCGTTTCTCACCACATGAATTACAAAACATAAAACAATATGATTTGAATGAAATATATTGAATTATAAGTTATGACTAATTGCTACACAGATGCACATAGTTAAGTAATATCAACAAAAAATAGACGTGTATATCAACGAAAGTTAATATAGAGTATCTATTGAAAGAAGATTTTGAGTTACGAGAGTGAAAATAAGATTGAAAACAGATAGGTGTAATCGACATCGAGGTACCAATTATATTTTGCGAATATATTCATAATATTTCGGTATAATTGAATTCTACGATTTAGTATCAGTGTACATAACGAGACCTGCTTAAAGCACCACGTACGATTTTTGAAAATTTTGATCTGTTTTCCTCTAATGAAGTCGATGTGCGTTGTGTATTACGATGATTATTTCGAAAACTATTTATACGAATATGTTCAACATTTAGGCGTTGGTCATGAAGACTACTCCCACTTGAACCGGTCGTTGACACCTTGTGATTGGTATTTATTATTGATAATGGTGCATTCTTTGTATTATCACGCAACTTTTGCAAACTGCTTGTAGGAGTAATCTGCTTTTTCGGGCACAATTCACGTGATTTCACTTCATATGGTTTCTCATAATTCCAATTCCCACTAAAACAGTCAACAAAATAGAATAAATCAGTTACATTTACTATGACAACAACAACAACAACAACAACAACAACTACAAGGTGATTGCAAACAATACCACTTCTTCACACATCATCATTAATCACTTACCCTGGACCATAGTTACACACGATTGATAGAATGCGATTTGGACAGTTCGCAACTGCACATCCAATGTCTGTGGTCTTGGCCCAAACCATCTGAAACGGAATGTGAACAAGGAAATAATGTGATCGGTAGGCCAATTGCAAGGCATCTCTATTGTGTTTCAATATGATGTGAGTAGTTACACTACTTGTATATAATGCAGAAAATGTTGTCAAGTCAAAGAGGTACACGTGGAAATTCCAGTATATGTGTAAAATGAGTATGTTCACACTTGGTGCAGTTATGATGACTAGTTGAATTCTACAGAACACTCAATCACTCGCATGCTCATTCATTCATTCATTCATTCATTCGTTCATTTATTTAATCACTCACTTACTCACTCACCACTCATTCTGTATTATGTCAAACAACAGGCGAAATCATTTCACCCATCACAACATCATCATTTTCCATCTATACAGAATGAATTTCTGTTGAATAGCTTCCAATATTGTGTTTGTGTGTTGACAGTAGTGTTGACAGTTTGATTAGGATTTTAATACACTCGTCAGTCTTAGTACATCCTGGTCAGAGACGAATTTCTTTCTGTTGTTTTCCACCGAATCACCCCAACTCTCAACCAAACACACATACTCAATTATTATCCAGTGTTGTGCATACCTGTGTGCATAACTGCAATCATCGGATTACGTGCATTTACATGTGTATTTGAGTGACTTCTGTAGAAAAGTGAAATCACTTCATTGTTATCACACATTCGTGCTGCATTATTATTGTTATTATAAGTGTGAACGGTGAGTGGCACATGAGTGTGTGGAAAACTCTCTTGAATAGGATGAGAATGGACTTACTTGTGTGTAATGCAAACACTCATAACAGTCATTGACATTGTAATTGTATAATTTGTGCTCATTGAACCAAGCATCCACTCCTCTGAATCAGAAAACAGTGAATCGAATAAAAATGAACTTACGACTTAATTTTTTCACTGAGAGCAATATTTTGTCCAACCCAAATGAATTGATTCGAATGACGTTTATCGTGATCTAAGGTGCATTTGATGGCTAATGTTTGTGCTTGTGCAGCAAGTTCGTAATTCCAATTCTACAAATAAGCGTTATGTATATATTATTTGAACAAATTATTGAATAATGACTTACCAATTGTGACATATATTTAGCTGGAGGTTGTCCGTCAACTTTACAATCAACTAAATCCTGTCTGTACTTTCTATGTAGTTCGAGTATTTCGAGGCTTTTCTCATCCAACGTTCTTTCCAAACCTGTAGGTTGTTTGTCGTGAACTCTACTCCCACTTGAACCGGTTGTTGGCACCTTGTGATTGGTATTTATTATTGATAATGGTGCATTCTTTGTATTATCACGCAACTTTTGCAAACTGCTTGTAGGAGTAATCTGCTTTTTCGGGCACAATTCACGTGATTTCACTTCATATGGTTTCTCATAATTCCAATTCCCACTAAAACAGTCAACAAAATAGAATAAATCAGTTACATTTACTATGACAACAACAACAACAACAACAACAACTACAAGGTGATTGCAAACAATACCACTTCTTCACACATCATCATTAATCACTTACCCTGGACCATAGTTACACACGATTGATAGAATGCGATTTGGACAGTTCGCAACTGCACATCCAATGTCTGTGGTCTTGGCCCAAACCATCTGAAACGGAATGTGAACAAGGAAATAATGTGATCGGTAGGCCAATTGCAAGGCATCTCTATTGTGTTTCAATATGATGTGAGTAGTTACACTACTTGTATATAATGCAGAAAATGTTGTCAAGTCAAAGCGGTACACGTGGAAATTCCAGTATATGTGTAAAATGAGTATGTTCACACTTGGTGCAGTTATGATGACTAGTTGAATTCTACAGAACACTCAATCACTCGCATGCTCATTCATTCATTCATTCATTCATTCATTCGTTCATTTATTTAATCACTCACTTACTCACTCACCACTCATTCTGTATTATGTCAAACAACAGGCGAAATCATTTCACCCATCACAACATCATCATTTTCCATCTATACAGAATGAATTTCTGTTGAATAGCTTCCAATATTGTGTTTGTGTGTTGACAGTAGTGTTGACAGTTTGATTAGGATTTTAATACACTCGTCAGTCTTAGTACATCCTGGTCAGAGACGAATTTCTTTCTGTTGTTTTCCACCGAATCACCCCAACTCTCAACCAAACACACATACTCAATTATTATCCAGTGTTGTGCATACCTGTGTGCATAACTGCAATCATCGGATTACGTGCATTTACATGTGTATTTGAGTGACTTCTGTAGAAAAGTGAAATCACTTCATTGTAATCACACATTCGTGCTGCATTATTATTGTTATTATAAGTGTGAACGGTGAGTGGCACATGAGTGTGAGGAAAACTCTCTTGAATAGGATGAGAATGGACTTACTTGTGTGTAATGCAAACACTCGTAACAGTCGTTGACATTGTAATTGTATAATTTGTGCTCATTGAACCAAGCATCCACTCCTCTGAATCAGAAAACAGTGAATCGAATAAAAATGAACTTACGACTTAATTTTTTCACTGAGAGCAATATTTTGTCCAACCCAAATGAATTGATTCGAATGACGTTTATCGTGATCTAAGGTGCATTTGATGGCTAATGTTTGTGCTTGTGCAGCAAGTTCGTAATTCCAATTCTACAAATAAGCGTTATGTATATATTATTTGAACAAATTATTGAATAATGACTTACCAATTGTGACATATATTTAGCTGGAGGTTGTCCGTCAACTTTACAATCAACTAAATCCTGTCTGTACTTTCTATGTAGTTCGAGTATTTCGAGGCTTTTCTCATCCAACGTTCTTTCCAAACCTGTAGGTTGTTTGTCGTGAACTCTACTCCCACTTGAACCGGTTGTTGGCACCTTGTGATTGGTATTTATTATTGATAATGGTGCATTCTTTGTATTATCACGCAACTTTTGCAAACTGCTTGTAGAAGTAATCTGCTTTTTCGGGCACAATTCACGTGATTTCACTTCATATGGTTTCTCATAATTCCAATTCCCACTAAAACAGTCAACAAAATAGAATAAATCAGTTACATTTACTATGACAACAACAACAACAACAACAACAACTACAAGGTGATTGCAAACAATACCACTTCTTCACACATCATCATTAATCACTTACCCTGGACCATAGTTACACACGATTGATAGAATGCGATTTGGACAGTTCGCAACTGCACATCCAATGTCTGTGGTCTTGGCCCAAACCATCTGAAACGGAATGTGAACAAGGAAATAATGTGATCGGTAGGCCAATTGCAAGGCATCTCTATTGTGTTTCAATATGATGTGAGTAGTTACACTACTTGTATATAATGCAGAAAATGTTGTCAAGTCAAAGAGGTACACGTGGAAATTCCAGTATATGTGTAAAATGAGTATGTTCACACTTGGTGCAGTTATGATGACTAGTTGAATTCTACAGAACACTCAATCACTCGCATGCTCATTCATTCATTCATTCATTCATTCATTCGTTCATTTATTTAATCACTCACTTACTCACTCACCACTCATTCTGTATTATGTCAAACAACAGGCGAAATCATTTCACCCATCACAACATCATCATTTTCCATCTATACAGAATGAATTTCTGTTGAATAGCTTCCAATATTGTGTTTGTGTGTTGACAGTAGTGTTGACAGTTTGATTAGGATTTTAATACACTCGTCAGTCTTAGTACATCCTGGTCAGAGACGAATTTCTTTCTGTTGTTTTCCACCGAATCACCCCAACTCTCAACCAAACACACATACTCAATTATTATCCAGTGTTGTGCATACCTGTGTGCATAACTGCAATCATCGGATTACGTGCATTTACATGTGTATTTGAGTGACTTCTGTAGAAAAGTGAAATCACTTCATTGTTATCACACATTCGTGCTGCATTATTATTGTTATTATAAGTGTGAACGGTGAGTGGCACATGAGTGTGAGGAAAACTCTCTTGAATAGGATGAGAATGGATTTACTTGTGTGTAATGCAAACACTCGTAACAGTCGTTGACATTGTAATTGTATAATTTGTGCTCATTGAACCAAGCATCCACTCCTCTGAATCAGAAAACAGTGAATCGAATAAAAATGAACTTACGACTTAATTTTTTCACTGAGAGCAATATTTTGTCCAACCCAAATGAATTGATTCGAATGACGTTGATCGTGATCTAAGGTGCATTTGATGGCTAATGTTTGTGCTTGTGCAGCAAGTTCGTAATTCCAATTCTACAAATAAGCGTTATGTATATATTATTTGAACAAATTATTGAATAATGACTTACCAATTGTGACATATATTTAGCTGGAGGTTGTCCGTCAACTTTACAATCAACTAAATCCTGTCTGTATTTTCTATGTAGTTCGAGTATTTCGAGGCTGTTTTTATCAAGTATTCTGTTTGTGTTCACATAATAAACATAAGTGATCAGAATGTTTATTATCAGTATCAGAAACATTTTATTTTGTGTAGTGTAATGTTAGAAGTATTTTACATGATGTTTTCAATGTCTTTTTATTTTGAATTTGTGTGAATTATCTGAGTTCATCTATTCCTCTATTTGTTTATGTTTGTTTATCTACATTTTCTTAATCATATTATCTCATTTTTCTCATTGGAAACACTACATGTTTTTCTTAATTGTTATTCTCATATATGTTTAACAGTACAAATTCACCTAAGTATGAATCTTATTAATATATAATGTAATAGTAGAGTGATTCTGATCATCTATTATGAGATGGTGGAGAAGATTTGTAGCTCAGGTGGATGATTTCGATGAAGTTTTGTTCTCTGAACTGGATGGTTCGGTCGTGGAGAACAAAATTCCTTCAAGATCATTTATTATGTCGGCTGAATGATAGATTTAAAGTTATAATTGCATTAACCTAATTAGTCATCAATGATGTTAGTTACTTACCACAACCTTACTGTTATCATTATTCTTTGAATTTTAACATAATAGAGTGTTTTATCAAATTGTAGAGTGTTATATCCAACGAATTGTTAGAATGTAATAAGATTTGTTTTCTTTATATATACATAATAGTTTATATATTCTGAGAATAATAATTACAGAATTCATGCCAGTTTACAGGCATGATTAATTTGATATAATTAGTAACATTAGATGTAGAGAACAAACATGTGATAGAAGAAAGTTTTAAGTATACTAGTTCAGTAATTGTTTAGGTAGTACATGTATTAATTACTTACTTACTTACGCCTGTTGCTCCTCGTGAAGGAGCATAGGCCGCTCACCAGCATTCTCCATCCAACCCTGTCCTGGGCAATCCTTTCAAGCTCTTTCCAGTTCCTATTCATCTTTTTCATATCCTCTTCTATTTCCCGACGTAATGTGTTCTTTGGCCTTCCACTTTTCCGCTTCCCTTCAGGATTCCAAGTTAGCGCTTGTCTCGTAATGCAGTTTGATGATTTCCTCAATGTATGTCCTATCCATTTCCATCGTCTTTTCCTAATTTCCTCTTCAGCTGGAAGCTGGTTGGTTCTCTCCCACAAAGGGCTGCTGCTGATGGTATCCGGCCAATGGATGTTGAGTATCATGCGTAGACAGCTATTAATAAATACCTGTACCTTCTTGATGGTGGTTGTTGTAGTTCTCCAAGTTTCAGCTCCGTACAGTAGAACTGCCTTGACGTTCGTATTGAAGATTACGAACGTTGTTTTATGAACGGTGTAATTAAGGTTATTTCGTGTGTCAGATCGAATTCATGATAATTATTTACAACTAGAGAAATTAAAACAAAAACAGAGAGCATGGAATAACAAAGCAGTAATTACTGAGATATGTCAATCAGATCTATCAAAATGCGTGTGTCATTTGACACAGTGATATACTGTTGATGTTATTCAAATTAGTTAAAATTGTTAGGAATGGTGTTAACAAAAATTGATAACAAGTAGGTGGTTTTACTTAGGGAATGCACTAATAAAAATGGCTAAACATTTAAAGTTTCTATAATATCACATGTGGAATGAGATACACTTACAGGTGCTAGAATATTCAATGCATACACATGTTAATCAACTTGTTTCGACAATACTTATGTAATAGACTTAAGCATTGAAAACTAAACTGTATACATACATCCTGATATTTTCTATTAATCTTCAAGATTAATTCTTTCATTGAATTAACATATAATTAAATGTATTTAGCCTCAAAGAGTAGATTATACCAGGTTCAAACAGAGTACTGTGAGGCCCTTTATTTTGTTTTCATTTGGATTGGACGATGTTTGTCGAAGGTCTCTCCACTTTAGTGGTCCGTGACCTGATTCCAAATAAATCATATGAATGTTTGTTATCGCCTATCCTCGTATATAATCATCGAGTTAATCCACGTTAGTCAATAACGGAATTAAATAAGTCAAATAACGAGAATGGACTTTTGAATACATGTATTGTGTATATGAAGCGAATGGAATAGAGAGAATCGAAACGACGCATAGTAGAGTGACTGGTAAACAAACTCCTATTTATTATCAGAAGGGGTTTTGTGGAGATTGTAGTAATTTCAATGATTAAGATCATGAGTCACTAGTGACTGGCTTCAAGAGGTATATCCTGGAGTTCTAGTGAGAAGTAGTGACCAGTGGAGTTCAACCAGGTCTGTTGTGTGATAGTAACTCACTGAAGACAATGGTGGATGTGTCGCTCAACTTCGTGGATTAGTTGAAGTTAGACATTAACACCGTTGGATGCCGGCTCAGTGGTCTAGTGGTTAAGTGCTCGCGCGCGAAACCAGTAGGTCCTGGGTTAATCATTGAAACTCCTATTTAACCAAGCGTTAATCACTGTTTATAAGTACACAAAAGTAAGTTACATACATGTGATGAGTAATAGGATAAGAAGTGTACACACACCTACGCGCTCATATAAAAACAGTCAAGATTGATAAGCGAATAAGGTCAAAATATGACTCAAGTAGAATGAATAGATTGGGCTGTCCGATAGCTAGAATAAGGTATATGGGCTTAACAAAATGACACATTACAGTACACTTTTTAAACATACTACTAATTTGAATAGCCATTTATAATAAATATATAAGTTAGTCATTAGCTTCTTTTTTGAAGTTTATCAACTCTAATCTCATAATGTCACTGGAATCATCGTTTAAGTTAAATGAACTTATTTAAACAATTCATTTAGGTTATAAATTTATTGAACAACTGAATCTGTAGTATATCAATGATTTGTAAAGGTTTAAATTTTCTCTATGTTAACAATGACAGCTTTACATGAACACTCTCTTTTAGTAAATCGGTACTTTGAACAGATTGCTGCTTAATATCTTTCTCAGAAGGGGTTGTGTGGAGATTTTTAAGATTTCACTGGTTGGAATCATGAGTCAATTGAAGCTAGACCATCTTGGAAAACCTGGAAGCACGGGACGGCCGTTTCGTCTTAGTATGGAACTTCTCAACAGCATCCACGATCCCGCTACCCTCGAGCTTTGAAACCAGGACCTAACAATCTCGCGCCAGGTGCTTAACCAACTAGACCACTAAGCCGGCCGGCATGCAACGGTGTTAATGTCTAACTTCAACCAATCCATGAAGTTGCACCGTTCAGTGCTTCCAGGTTTTCCAAAGTGGTTTAGCTTCAATTGACTCATGGTTTCAACCAATGTAATATTTTTCTATCGAATTACAATGTTTTCATCAATCTAAATGACTAAACATTCTACTCATTATATTTTGTTTTTATTTGGTTCAAGGTAGCCATCAGGTAATTCATATTCATCTTCGTTTTATTCTATTTGACCCTTGTATGCAAGATATCATTTCAATATTAAGGGAACGGTTTTAACCAAAGTCATTTAAACAAGGGTCTAATCTAAGTATAACATTGGTTACTACACAAGAATCAATCGGTTATAATTATACTAGCAATACATACGAAATCAAATTTATAATCATAAGGGAACATTGTAAAAGTATATTTCTTTGTTCATATTTTAGACTAGATAAAATTACTTGTTCTTTACAATTCTCTCAATGTATACCAATACATACGCTCACGTGTATGAATTTCTCTCATTACTGTGAGAATTTCATTGAGAGTGTGTTGTTATGATCATTAAAATATGCGGGAATATAAGGTACATTTATTTTTTGTAGAAAAAAAATCTTATTAATACTTCATTTGTTTTTTAGGTGCTGACCACGGGTTGTGACTTCGAAGTTAGTTGTTCCCTTCAAACTTCAGTAGCCCCCCCCCCAAATCATTCGACATTGATCATGTACGTTGGTGATCTACAACTTCTATTTGCTTCATTTATGAGAGCATCTTTTCATCTTTCCATTAATCCTACTGAAATAATTATATTTTCATGCTTATTATATACAGAATAATAAAGATCAAATTCTCAATTTAATCGACAACTTACAAATAGTCTTCAGATGATATTTTCACAATAGTAGACTTAATTTAATAATGTTACTACGATTAACTAGTTGAGTATCCCATGCTTAGGAATCAGGAATTGTCAAATTGAAACACTTTAAACTCACCGTTTTGTATCAAAACTATTTTATTGGTTAATTAAAAGTATTACCTACACTTCGATTCAATGAAATTTTACTCATTCCTCTGGTAACAATGGTTCAGTCGTTTACATGTTAAAATCAGTATTTAGTAAATTAATTATAATTACCGTTGAAATTCTCAATGTATCCCATGTGGTCAAAGTCGTTACTTATGGTATATAGGAAGCAGTCTTGCAATTGTATGTAAAACAACAATGAAACATATGAATAGTTCACTACTGAAATTTTCCAATTCTGCTGTCACATACTGGTAATCAGAATACATATAATAAAACATTAACGATCTATTAGTGGTTCGGAATACTATATAGAATGCAAATTAGTTTACAAAGGAAAATTCAGAATAACTCTATTACATTTTCCACACAATTACTTGAAGTGTCTTGTTCTACTATCAATACTTCATAAAGCGAAGACATTTACTGTAAATAGAAATCGATCCAATGAAATACCCTCTCGAACAATGATAACCAAACATCCACCAAACTTTATTGAGATGCTTGTAAAAGGCTTGTTTAATAATCACATAAATTCATTAATACGGTTCACGGAGTAAACGTGTGCAAACGGGAAATTCAACCTAGTTATTGCGACCAAACAGTAATAAATTCTTTATTCAGAAATGATTTGTGATGAACACATATCGGTAGGAGCTGATATGCATTTGACAGAGCTGTTTGATTTTGACGGGGATGTTTATATGCCCACATTTTATCGTGTCACTCAAGTTTTGATTACTGATCTTAGATACACCGGCGAATAGATATGGTGTGAATAACAGCTCCAACTGCTACTATACAAAGCATGCCAATAACTTGTAGTAAGTGGCTCTAATCACCTCGATTCCATTTGACTATAAATATTGAGTAACGCTTAATTAAAG